CAGGCTTAGTTGCTCTGTGGCATGTGGGATCTTCCCAGACCAGGGATTGAACCCACATCCCCTGCATTGGCAGGCAGATTCTTATCCACCGCGTCACCAAGGAAGTCCCTACTTATTTTTTCTTTTTGTTTTTTTTCGCTTTTGTTTTGTTTTGTTTTTTGGCCATGCCGTGCGCCTTGTGGGATCCTTGCTCCCCAACCAGGGATCAAACCTGTGCCCCTGCAATGGAAGTGCAGAGTCCTAACCATTGGGAATTCCCTCTACTTAATTTTTCTGTAAATCTAAAAGTGCTCTAAAAAATAAAGTCTATTAGAGTTATACTATGCTGAGACTAAACCAGAAGTCAAAATGGAAATAGGAATAGCTATTAGTGGCTCCTACAAATACCCAGGCAAGAGTATTTGGTTGTGTATCTGGGGGAAAGTGGTGAGGGTGAAGAGAAATGTATTAGTCACAAAATGGCAAGTAAGCCACGGACCACGGGAAGCCCAGGTGACCCTACTGCTTGCTAATGCTGGGCACTGTACCCGTGAAATACAACAGGCCCCGCCTTGAGACACATCAGATGGTACCTAGACCAGCGTCGTCCAGCTCTCAGCAAAGACTCCCACAGCAAGACTCCCACCCCAGGAACCAAACCCTCTCCCCAGTGCTGGTCAAGCCAATCCTCAGAGAGAACTCCCTCAGGAGAAGCCCCCAGAACAAGGGAGAACATGACCAGGAAAGATTACCCGAAACTGCAGCTAGGGAGAATGTGTATGATAGGGAGATCAGCCAGCTGCAGAGATGATCCCACTAAGAGATAGCTTGGGCGTAGCCTAAAACCTAGGGGCAGTTCCCACATTCTTCATTACCAGGGTGATCCTGCACAGGAATGCAACTAATGCTAAAGAAACCTTACCATACCAGTACATGGCCAGAGGCAGGGGCACTTCAGTAACTGAAGGGTGGAGGAAGGCAAACTCCCCTAGAGCAGAGAGTAGAGCTGTCCAACAGGCAGGAATGCTTGGGACACCAAAGACTTATTTCCTCTCCTCTTGTCCTTCCTTAGTCACAGACTGGAAAGAAGTCACAGCAGCAAAGAGTTACTCCCAGTATCAAAACAGTACTCTACCTCTAGCTGGGAGAAATGAGAAAGGGAGGCATGAAGGCCAAGAGCTGGGGCTGTAGTCTGAAAGAGCTGTTCAAATCATGACTCAGCCTGGTCAAGCTGTGGGACCTTAGGAAAGTTAATTAACCTCTCTGAGTCTCAGGTTTTCCTTTAGTAAAATGGGGATAATAATAATCAACAAGTAACAGTGTCATGAGAATAAAAAGGGCTACTACATGTTAGGTACCCACAGTCATGGTTGGCACAGAAACGGGTACTATTTTCATGCAGAAGGCATGAAACTGAAGCTCAGAGACATGAAAGAGCTGTGGGTGGCAGAACCTTGCGAGTCAGACTCCAAGGCCCCTGCTCTAAACCACTCAACCTGCAAGCCACGGCCACAGATGGCTACTGGGCACCTGAAATATGGAGAATCTCAACTGAGATGTGCTGTCAGTGTAAAAGACACCAGGTTGCAAAGACTGTACCAAAAAAAAGTAAAATTATCATGAATAAGTTTTATATTGATTACATGTTGAAATATTATTTTGGATACATTGGGTTAAACGAGATATATCATTAAAATTAATTTTATCTGCTTTAGTTTTTTAATGTAGCTACTCAAAAACTTTAAATTTGGCTCACACTACATTTCTTGTAGACAACACTGGACTACAGCATGATGCCTTCCCATGATAGGACCCTGTGTGGGAACTCCTGTGAACATCTGCGTCGTGTTTGGAATCATTTGTAAGAACACGGAACCTGACTCACTTGGGAGGTTCACGCCCAAGGTCCAAAAATCTTTTAAAATGCTGGCGCTGGGACTTTCATGGTGGCACAGTGGTTAAGAATCCTCCTGCCAATGCAGGGGACACAGGTTCGAGCCCCGGTCCGGGAAGATCCCACATGCCACGGAGCAACGAAGCCTGTGCGCCACAACTACTGAGCCTGCGTTCTAGAGTCCATGAGCCACAACTACTGAGCCCACGTGCCACAACTACTGAAATGAAGCCTGCATGCCTAGAGCCCGTGCTCTGCAACAAGAGAAGCCACAGCAATGAGAAGCCCGCGCACCGCAACGAAGAGTAGCCCCCTCTCACTGCAACTAGAGAAAGCCCGCGCACAGCAATGAAGACCCAACGTGGCCAAATAAATAAATAAATAAATTTAAATGCCGTGGCTATGGGGCTTCCCTGGTGGCGCAGTGGTTAAGAATCTGCCTACCAATGCAGGGAACACGGGTTCGAGCCCTGGTCCGGGAAGATCCCGCATGCCATGGAGCAACTAAGCCCATGTGCCACAACTACTGAGCCTGCACTCTAGAGCCCGCGAACCACAACTACTGAGCCTGTGTGCTGCAACTACTGAAGCCTGCGCGCCTAGAGCCCGTGCTCCACAACAAGAGAAGCCATCACAATGAGAAGCCCATGCACCGCAACAAAGAGTAGGCCCCGCTCACTGAAACTACAGAAAGCCTGTGTGCAGCGACGAAGACCCAACACAGCCAAAAATAAAATAATAATAATAAAATAAATTTTTAAAAAAATGCCGTGGCTATGGAATTGGGAAAAGGGCCTTCCTTGCATAGCAGGGCCTGGGGGCTGAGAGGGGAATAGAGAGAACTGGTAGGAGCCAGCTCAGCCTTGATTAGGCACAAAGTTGAACCTAGGAGAAGAAAAGCTATGTGGATTCTTTGTGCCTCTTTCTGGCTAACCACAAGGAGCAGAGGATGAGGAGGCTATTTTCTGTAGACTCAGTAAAGGCCAGGGAATAGGTTTGCCGAATTAGGGAGGGGAGGATACAAGATGCTCAGTTAAATTTGAATTTCAGATAAATAATGAAGAATATTTTAGTATAAGTATGTCCCAAATGTCCCATGGGATATACTTATACTAAAACATTATTCATTGCTTATGTAAAATTCAAATATAAATTGGGCATCCTGTATTTTATGTGGTAGCTCCACCAGGGAAGTAGTGAAGGCAGGGAATGGAGATGTTACCAGGTACGCTCAGAAGACAAAGCAGCACCTTGACTCTTTGCAGGTCAAGCAGGAAGGCAGAGATGGATAAGTGAGGACCCTTAACAAGGAATTAGTGGACCCTAGAACCCATAGCAACAGAAGATGCTAACCTCAGAGTCCCCAGAACCTTGGATTGTCTTCAACCTTAGGTTATAACAATTTCCACTCAAATAAGTGGTAATTATTAACAGAAATAAGGATAAAATGATAAAAGGTAAGAATATCTACCCAGATACTTAAAAAAAAATCTTGTTCCTTAATTTTGCATTTAAATATTCCTCTATTTAAAGGAAATAGTCACACTTTCACATTGCTGTTTTAATGAAGAATCATAATTTTAGGAGAATAGTAAACACACTATACACAGGCTTCAATCCCACTCTCTACTGCATGGAAACTGTTCAGTGCAGTAGTTGAGAGCACTGGCTCCAGAGGCCACCTGCCGCAATGCACATCCTCCTGGCTCTGACACTAGCTGGATGATCTTAAGCAGGTTACTTCCTCTCTCTGTGCCTCAGTTTCTTCAACTGGGAAATGAGATGACAGCAACTACCATTCAGGGTTCATGTGAGGATTAAATGAGTTAATACATGTACATCAGAAGAGTGCTGGTCATTTAATGAACACTCAGAAAGCTGGCCTTTTCAAAATGTGTATATTTGTTATTTTTAATCCCCACCATCACCATTCATGTCTAAGAAAGGGTAGAAGATTGGGGGTGTAAAGACCAGCGTGACTTGGGTAGATGCCCCCACCTCATCCTCTTTTCTGCCTAACACCATTCACCCTTGTCCCCTGACTCCACTTGAAAACCCTTGACCACAGAAACTTTGTCCAGCAGATGCGAAGAGGCTGCAGAAGACAGGGATGAGGTTTATACCCACTTGTCCCTCCTTCTTTACATCTGGTCATCCTAACCATTTCAGAATTAGGAGTCTTCCTTCATCTCTCACCTAGGTGGAGGTAAAGCCACCAGCTGGTCTCGCTACTTCCACTCTTGCTACACTCTCACAATCCATTGTCCACGGCTACCAAGGGGATCTTTGAAAAACAAATCTGATATCACTTCCCTGTTCAAAACTGTCCAATGACTTCTCATCACATGTAGAATAAAATCCACACTACTTACCAAGACCTAGAACACCCTGCAGGATCTGGTCCTTCTCTGCCTCTGCTATCTTATCTCCTAATACTCTCCCCTCACTCATTCCCCTGGAGCCACACCAGGCTTCTTTCTGCCTGTCCTTCAAATATCCCAGGCTCACCCCTGCCTCAGGGCCTTTGCATAGCTCTTCTCTCTACTCTCCCTGCAGATCTTCTCATAGCTGGCTCCTCCCTAACAGCTCTCAGTTCAAGTGTCCTCTCCTCAGGAGGCCTTCTCTTTTCTCAAATGTTACTAAAATTGTAATTCTTTAAATTACAAATTACTACTTAAAATTCTCCTGTTTATCTGTGTGTCATCTGTCTCTCTCGTTAACTTGTTAACCCATGAGAACAGAAGATTGGACCTTCTGGTTGATGCTGTGACCCCAACACACAGCACAGTGACTGGCACACTGCAGGGGCTCAGTAAATAACTGTTGAATGAATGAATGTGAAAGAATCCCAGAAGAAAGTCTCAGCCACTCCACTAACCAATTTTGTGTCCATTAGGATGTCCTCCCTGTCTCTAGGCCTCAGTGTCTTCATCTGTAGTGATGGGGTTGGACTGGATATTATTTGAGGGTCCTGCCAGCTCTGACATGCTATATTTCAGGGATCCCCAAAACAGCCTCTCACTGAGCTGCATTTCGCTGGAATGCTGGAGAAAATACAGCAATGATCACATGCCGAGACCAATTCCTCAGGAATCTCAGGCTGCTAACTGCCTGGTATTTTGCTTACCGATCAGCTGCACTTGTTCCTCTTCCCTGGCGGCTGTCTCCTGCAGATCATGAAGCAATTTGCTGTTCACCTTGATGATATCATCGATATTTGAGAACAGGACATCCAGATCTCCCTGTGGCAGCTGGAAGGAACAAAGGCACCATGGGAGGTTGCTTAGGAGTTCAGGAGAGTGACTTATTTTTGTAGGCTTTGGACAGTAGTCCAGAACAGTCACATCATTGGGGTTCCACCACTCTTGGGAAGACTGTCCCAGTGGGATGTTTGCAAGGACTTTGAAATTTTATAATTAGGTATTTTCATTACGCTACAAGAAGAGAGAGAGAGAGACGAAGTGCTCAGCATGAAAGGAAAGCTGAACTGTATTATCCTAGGTTTGCTGCCAACTATAATTTTTTTTCTCTCATTTTCCCCATCTGTCATGTAAGTGTGGGAAGTTGGACTTCTTTCCAGCTCTGACATACTTGGCACCTACCACCATTACCTTGAGATATATTCTGAACTCCAGTCCCTATGAACTAAGCTATCCCACTGTTAAAAAGGATGCAGGACATCTATATATGTGCATGAACATATATAGGACATATATATAGATAGACATCCTGGATGCACAATCAAGTGGGAAAAGCTAACTGTAGAAAAATAGAGTATGCTCTTATGTTTGCTAAAATAAGTAACAGGGAATTCCCTGGCAGTCCAGCGGTTAAGACTCAGGCTGTGGACCCGACACTGCTGTGGACCCAGGTTCGATCCCTGGTCAGGGAACTAAGATCCCACAAGCCGTCTGGTGCAGCCAAAAACAAACAAACAAAAAATAAAATAAGTAACGATCTATGTTTGTTATTTTAATGCCTACAGAGAAAAATCCCAATTTCTAGAGGGTGAAATATGAGACGGCTTTCACCTTCTACATTATCTATTTGATTATTTCATTCATTCAATAAACACTAGTTGAAGTCCACTGTTTACGTGCCAAGAACTGGGATACATTGAACTAAACACCCTTTCCCCTTATGGACCTTACATGCTAGGGGATGCTTGACATTTTAGAGAGACAGCCTGTGTTATTTCTGAAATCAGGGGGAAAAAAGATGTAAAACATTAACACTAAAATAGAAACCCATCATAATGATAAATTTTCCATGTTACCACCCTCCAAATGAGACGATTAGAAATAGGTCACTGAAAAGAATCTGTTCTAAACTTAATAAAGGGCTATTTTATCCATTAGTTCACTTAATTCTCTGAGGTGATTATTCTCTGTCCATTTAGCAGATGAATATACTAAGGCTCCAAGGTGTTAAAAGCCTTGCTGAAGGTTGCAGGGCCAGTAAGTGGAAGTACCGGGGCTTATGCCCAGGTGACTTCACATCCACCACACTTTCCCCTCCATCAAGCCTGCGCCAGGAACAGATGTGAGGTTTCAGGAGCTGGGACTCACACTTGCCCCTATAAAGACAGGCTGAGTGTGGCTCCACCCAGGTACCTGCTGCAGGTGGCTCCTAATGTCCGAGGCACAGAGCTGGAGCACGTGCAAGTAGGAGACCTCGGTGTCGATGAGTTCCCTGACGGCCAGACTCTGATGCAGCAAGGATCTCTCCTCAGGGACCCGACCTTCCCCATCTGGACTCCCTGTCCTAGAGGACAGCTCATCATCCCCAGGATCAGTCATGTCAGCAGGTTCTGGGAAAGACAAACACATCCGGACTCACTTGTGGGAGCTCTATTGGGACATGCTGTCTCTAATCCAAAGACAACTATTCATCAGATGGCCTAAAAACATCTTCAGCTGCCTACAGAGTCAAGATGAACTGCGTATAAGCATTTGTGGGCAGTATCTGAACAATCTTAAAAGGCAGAATGCAGCTCAGATAATTGTTGGCATTTTAAATTCATTTCCCAGGATTCAGACAATGTGCTTGCCTGGCTTTTCTTCTATTTCCCCCCCAGCTCTTGACCTAGATTTCTTTATCTGGTTCAGCTGAGTCTCTCTCGCCCTCCTTCTCTACCCACTACTACCCCATTCAGGCCATACTACCTATCGCCTGGACTATTTCCACCGCCTCCAGGATCATTTTTTCAAATCCACACCCCTCTCCCACCTGCTGCCACCCACATCCATTCATCCTGGATATGCTTCCAGTTTAAACTTCCTGAAACAAAGCTTGTGATCCTGGTATTCTCTGCTGTGAGACTGTAATAGCTATCTGCTGCTCTGTGGTCTACCTCTGACTTCGTTTTCCTCTTCCCTGACACACTCCAGTGAAAGAAAGTTATGTGCTTTTCTCAATACCTGCATGGTCATTTCCTGCCTCCATGCTTTTGCACCTGCTGTGACCCCTCCAATGTCCCTATGCTCTGACATTCATCTCTAAGGCCTTTCCTGATCCTCGCAGCCAGATGTACTTTTCTCCTTTATCTCTAAGTTTAAAAAGTACAAATGGCAATACTGTGGACAAAAAAAAATCTCCCTACTACAGAACACCTAGAAATGCTAGATCAGCTATAACAAACTTCCTTTTCACTGCATGGCAAGCCTTGCAAGAAAGTAAAGGAGGGACTTCCCTGGTGGCACAGTGGTTAAGAATCCGCCTGCCAATGCAGGGGACGTGGGTTCGAGCCCTGGTCCGGGAAGATCCCACATGCCGCGGAGCAACTAAGCCCGTGCGTCACAACTACTGAGCCTGTGCTCTAGAGCACACGAGCCACAATTACTGAAGCCCGCGCACCTAGAGCCTGTGCTCCACAACAAGAGAAGCCACCACAATGAGAAGCCTGTGCACTGCAACGAAGAGTAGCCCCCGCTCGCTGCAACTAGAGAAAGCCTGCACGCAGCAACTAAGACCCAAAGCAGCCAAAAATAAATTAATTTAAAAAAAAAAAGAAAGTAAAAGAAATCAGCAGGGATCCCCAAACAGGGAGCTGAAAACCAGATCAGGAGCAGCTAAGCTGATGCAGCTGTAGCCAAAGTGGACAGAATGGGCAGGGAAGAGGGCACTGCCCAGCTCTGTGATCCAGAGACTTGGGCATCAGTGCCCAGGCAGAATCAGGAAGCAAGCTCCTCTCCAGAACTGGGATCCCTCAAGCACGCCAGTGAAATGGTGGATTAGAAAAAAAAGTCTCCCTACCCACACAGAAGATGACAAAGATGTTGCTGCATCTTGGCTTGGGTCCTGAGTAAAGGAAAAAGTCCTTTCTGAAAATTCATAACAACAGGCCTGCTTTCACTGGGTTGTAGGTTCAGATGTATACTACACATGTGGTCCAAGGAGCTCAATGCTGATAAATAAACAAAAAACAAGTCCTGGAATAGTGCTACTATGAGTACCCACAGAAAAAATAAAATGTCTCCAGGAGGACACATCCTTAACCTAGGCCACATGGTACTCCAAGAGATAACCCTGTCCTGAAGATGAACTTAAAATCCAAAATTACAAGAACTCCAGTGTAAGTGAGCATCATCAGAGACAACAAAGAGCAGGATTAGACCCAAGAACATCAGATAATCAAACTATCAAATAGAAACTACAAAATAAGCAGGAAAAGAAAAGATGCACAAAAAATAAAGACCGGTATGATTTTTTTTTTTGAATTTTACTTGGTTTGCTTTACTTCTTTTTTAAAAAAAATTAATTAATTAATTAATTTTATTTTGTCTGTGTTGGGTCTTCGTTTCTGTGCGTGGGCTTTCTCTAGTTGTGGCAAGCAGGGGCCACTCTTCACCGTGGTGCGCGGGCCTCTCACTGTCGCGGCCTCTCTTGTTGTGGAGCACAAGCTCCAGACGCGCAGGCTCAGTAGTTGTGGCTCACGGGCCTAGCTGCTCCGTGGCATGTGGGATCTTCCCAGACCAGGGCTCGAACCTGTGTCCCCTGCATTGGCAGGCAGATTCTCAACCACTGTGCCACCAGGGAAGCCCCGGTATGATTTTTTAAAGCACCAAGCAGGGCTTCCCTGGTGGCGCAGTGGTTGAGAGTCCACCTGCCGACACAGGGAACACGGGTTCGTGCCCCGGTCCAGGAAAATGCCACATGCCGCGGAGCGGCTGGGCCTGTGAGCCATGGCCGCTGAGCCTGCGCGTCCAGAGCCTGTGCTCTGCAGCGGGAGAGGCCACAACAGTGAGAGGCCCGCGTACCACAAAAAAAAAAAAAAGCACCAAGCAGAACTTACAGAAATTAAAAATTTAGTCTTTGACATTAACAACTAAATGGACAGTTTAAACACTTAGGAAAGAGAAATAGTAAAGGGGCAGATAGATCCAAAGAAATTATCCAGACTGCTAAAAGAAAGAGAAAATCATGGAAAATATGAAAGAGAATTAAGGGATCTGGATATTGAAATAAGAAGATCATGTACCAAATCTGTGTTCCAGAAGACAAGAATAAACAGAGTGAGAAGAGGCAATATATGAAGAGATGAGACTCATAATTGTCCAGAATTTATAAAAGATATGAATTCTTAGGTCTAGGAAGTACAAGTCCCGAGCAGGATAAGTTAAAAAAAATCACATCTAAACACACTGAGAGGAAATTTCAGAACCTTGAAGTCCTGGAGAATTTACCTTATAGTTTCCTTGTCAGGAAACTATGTTGCACCAAAATAAAGAAAGAAATCACGATACAAGATACAGGGAGCTGGTGATCTAATATGTGAGAGAGGCTGAGGAAATCCCTAGGATAGGTGAAAGGAAATTCTGAGTTTGACTGTTGGTGACAGACAGACAGCAAACAATCTGCACTAGGGTATTAGAAGGTCTTGAGAACAAATTTATTGAATCAGTAGAGAATATGGTCCTTATATAGGCATAATTACACAGATGGGGACTTCCCTGGTGGTCCAGTGGGTAAGACTCCACACTCTCAAGGCAGGGGGCCTGGGTTCAATCCCTGGTCGGGAACTAGATCCCGCATACATGCTGTAACTGAGAGTCTGCATGCTGCACCTAAGAAGTCAGCATGCTGCAACTAAGAAGTCAGCATGCCACAACTAAGAAGCCTGCATGCTGCAACTAAAGATCCTGCATGCCACAACTAAGACCCGGCACAGCCTAAATAAATAAATATTAAAAAAAAATGTACACAGATGAAACATACGAAACTAAGAAACAAACCAACAAATAAAAACAATTGTTATGAGCTTCCCTGGTGGCACAGTGGTTGAGAGTCCGCCTGCCGATGCAGGGCACACGGGTTTGTGCCCCGGTCTGGGAAGATCCCACATGCCGCGGAGTGACTGGGCCCGTGAGCCACGGCCGCTGAGCCTGCGCGTCTGGAGCCTGTGCTCCGCAACGGGAGAGGCCACAACAGTGAGAGGCCCGTGTACCGCAAAAAAAAAAAAAAAAAAAAAAAAAATTGTTATAACAATTTTTATTAAAAAAATGTGCAGAAAAGATAAAATTATATGTCACTACCCGATTCAGTTATAAATAGAATCTACACAAGTAATAATACAAGTGATCTAATTCATATTATGTACCGAGAGGACAGGGTGATGGAGAGGGAGAAAAAATGAGCTAAAGCCTCATCATCCATAGTGGAAATTAAAGAACAATGTCTAAATCGAAAGCTCAAGAAAGAGCAGTATATGTGTGTTATAAAACAATCAGCTGAAAACAACAGAAGGAATTGCCTGGTAGTGGCTGGAGCAGGAAACAGAAGAGGACGGGCTGCTTTCCATAACAAACATTGCAGAATCACCTGTCTCTCTTTCTCATCACAAATGTAGAACTATCCGTCTCTTTAAATTACAGCTTTGAAGTGAACTAAAAACTAAATGTAAGAAAAAGTGAGAATTCCTCAATTTTTCTGGAGATCAATATTCAAAAATAAATCATATTCCTGTGTATACCAACAACAATTTTTAAGAGTGCAATTTAAGGAAAAATAGCAGCATAATAATAAAAAGATTTAATAATAACACACAATATTTATTCCTTCCTAAATATCTTAATTTAACAAAAGATGGGGAGTTCCCTGGTGGCCTAGTCATTAGGATTCCAGGCTTTCACTGCTGTGGCCCACATTCAATCCCTAGTTGGGGAACTGAGGTCTCACAAGCTACGCATCCAAAAAAAAAAAAAGATGTACAAGATCTTTATGAAGAAAATTATAAACACTTATCTAAATATATTTAAGAACTAGCTGGGAATTCCCTGGCAGTCCAGTGGTTAGGACTCTGAGTTTCCACTGCAGGGGGCCCAGGTCTGATCCCTGGTCAGGAACTAAGATCCCACAAGCCACACGGCACAGCCTGAAAAAATAAAAACAAAAACAAAACCACAAAAAAGAACTAGCTACAAGTAGAGATACACTATGTTCATGGATAGGAAAAGTTAATATCATAAAGATGAAAATTGACCCAAACTTATTCAATACAATTTCAATAAAACTCCCGATAGGGTTTGGGGGTTTGGGGTTTTTTGTAGTAGAACATAATGCAATGATTCTAAAATATATATGGACAAAAAGGTTCAGAATGACTAAGGCAATTCTGAAGAACAAGGTGGGGGGGCCTGTCCTACCAGATATCTAGATACATTTGAAAGTCATAATAATTTAAAAGTATTGTATTGACACAGGGGCAAACAGATCAGTAGAACAGATTAGAGAGCCCAGAAGCAGACCACAGTAAAGATGGAAACTTGATATATGACATAAGTGTCATTATAAGTCACTGGGAAAAGGATG